AATATAGTGGTGCAAAGTAATAGCAATTAAGCACCCGTTGATGTCATTTTAAAATGTCCCTTTCACTCATTATGTAAACTACAATAGTTGTCTTTGTCTAATAACAGCACGTGTATCGATAGTGTTGTGATTTATAAGTCGATATTTGTTTGGTCATCGTTTAAACTTTAATATCTCACTAATTTCTATATACATCGCGATAAGAAAACGTAACGCTGGATTGATAATTTCAATGAGATATTGTTAACTCTCGAGTCACTTATCTTAAATTAAATCACGAGCAAAAGTGAGGTAAAATCTCAATTTTTAAAACAACAAGGACGAACAAGTAATAACTTTATTATAAACAGCATTTATAGCAAGATATTATACAAGTTGGAAAAAATTAAAAATTGAGACTAGAAACTTAATACGCAAATATATTTTAACATTAATTTTTTGTCGGTACAAACTTATATGTCATAACAAATAGTTTATTCACCTCTCTTTACCAATAGATCAAACCTAATCATAACTTTATTCTTCCAAAAATACTTTCTCATTGCCATTAAACGTTATAAACAAATTTTCGAATAAAAATATAACAAACAGAAAATAGTGACATGACAGAAAGTTATGACTTGCAGATTTTTCTTTTACTTATCTAGTGAGATCTTGCTTAAAATCTAAACTTTAATATGTCATGATTTTTATTGCTTTAAAGAAGAAAATATGTTGCCTAATTTTTAACAACCGAAAATAGAAGTTTTAATTTTAATTTGATACCTCCACGCGTTTTTTGGACTGGAAAAAGTACCTAACAAGAAGTTAGTTAGACAGACGGACAAAGATAGATTTTTGTACTTTGAAGTTACAGTAGGTAGTTCTTTTGTTTGTTTTGTTATTCTTTGAACAAATAAACTCAAAGAGAAATACAATTACAGTACCTAATTCTAAATGTGCGGATGATACTGTTCACATTGACACCTACCATTAACGTCCTGCAATGTGAAATCTGGACTGGTTGAACGGGTCTACCGCTAGCTGGTTCTTTCTAACGCCTTGTGTATTATCTTCATGAAAATCTACATAATACTATCATTTTGTTACTAAGATTGTAACGAAATAAGTCGGTTATTAAATACAGGATATAGGAGATGTCCCCTACAGTCAAATTTGTAAGAACACTTAGATTATTGACAATATTTCATAACCTCTACATTATGCTTAGTATTCACACGCTATTAGTATGTTATTTTATTAAATTACTTATTTTAATAACGTTTACAACTATGTATCTCTCAAACTCTTAACAGTTTTATGCTTAAGGCCCCGTCCGCACACCAATATTTTACCGCGCGATCAATTTTTTTCCGCCAGTGCGGATAGTCCTATATAGATCCCATGTGTTACAGAATTTTGCGAAATAAAACGTGCGGTAAAATATCGCTTTGCGGACGGGGCCTAAGCCGTTTATGTAACGTCGTTACTTTGTTTTTTTTTTTATTGAAAAACAACAGCGATACAATTATTTTATAACTTAATAACATACACAGATAGTTTGGCTACTAACAGTTTTTCCTGGTTAACTAAAGAAGTAGGTATATTATCCAGCATGCGAACGAAAACATGAAAAGTTGACATAGCATAGTAGTACACAAGTCTAAAATATGATACCACATAAAATTATTGTCCATTATTTACACTGTCCACTCAAAACGTTATAAATTTTAGATTTGAATTGTTGTTTTGAACACGAGAAGAAATCAATCTCGTCGAAAAAATTATTATAAGTACGCTAAACACGCGTAAATACACTGTTTCTTGCATAGAAGCACCCCGACATTCAACTACGATGAAGCATGATGTGCGTGATGAAGCACGTAACGGAGTGTTAAATACCATTTGCGAGACCAATTCGGCACTATCACTATGTCCATTTATAGTATCATACAACAAACACATGTCCAGGACCATACGTCTGTCCTCAAGAGTCAACAAGCCGTGGGCTTTACAATTTTGACGATAGATCATGACTGGCTTACGCAAACGATAGTTAAGGTGATCTATAAATATAAATAATATATATATATATATATTAAATTAAGGAAATGTTGTTATGCAATCAAAACTTATATAAATATATATGTTTATAATGAACTCCATAGTACACACACATTACTTTAATACTTGTTTGACTACCGCGATTTCTCCGATTAGACTGCTTACAACAATGACTTCAGCCCTCCACGACGCCTCTCCCACCCTTCATGCGTGCGTTATCAGTGACATAAGCAAAATATGGTATACATTTATTACTAATGCTTTAATTTAATTTATTTGATAATTATAATTTATTTACATATATTTATTTAAACAATATTAATATAATGCCTAACATATAGCTGGTTTGACTTAACAGACTTTTTGTCAGTTTTAATTTACATAATATGAAACTGTAGGCACCTGCCTTATATAAACCTTTATTACTTGTTTTCAAGAGTATTTTCATTATGTACCGCTTAATTTATTTACTTTTACTTTGAAATTTATTTGTAAGAAACAATTTAGTAAAGTAAAAATTAAGAGGTAAAAGTAGAATGAGAACCGCATACTAAGTAAAATTTAAAAATTTTCGTTTCAATTATATAACAATGTTAAGAATGATAATATAATTTCTGGTATAAAACAATTTAAAAAAATTACATAACAGATGTTGCTTTGTCCAAATTTAAAGAGTAGAAATATACTATACATCATACACACTGCAATAGAAAAGAGTTTTCGACCGTCTCGTGTTGTACTTGTTCCACGTATGTTATTTCCATTTCTTTCTTTTTGTAAATATTTATATAAAGGTTAATCAAAACAACGTTTTACTATCATAAGACCTCAATGTGTGTCAGAGTAACATAGCCACAGATTACAGAAGATTCAATCGCCGAATTTGTAAATTTAATTGCATTTAATTGTTCATGTGTTCTTTAGTTCTCGTTGACTTATCCCACGGTATGTACTGTGTATGTGTGCATGTGGATGAATTTGGATTCAATTTGGAATACCGATAAATTATTATGACCTGGATAAACTTATAGGCGCTGGGTATTGCTAGTGTGAGAATAAAAAGGTTTGCGGTAAATTACGAATGATGATTAATATTTGTTCTCTGACTTATTTTTATTTTATCTGTATTTACGTGTACGGCTAATTTTTTGTCTTATTGTCACTACGGGAAAAAAGAGTGTTATGATTTTCACCCATAGCATGAGTATACTTAATATTTTTGAGGGAGAACAAATAATAAACAAAATATTATAATGAAGTAATTTTATTCAGAAGTCAAAGAATTTAAAATATTTTATGTCAAATTAAGCATCTGAATGCACTTTTGAACGCCAATCTGAGAAAAAACAAGTAATAAAAAAAATACGATAAAATAATCAAAGCTTTAAATAACTTAGCTCTTAAAATAGATGTCTTGCGTAGAAAACTACTCTTTGAATAGTGTACATAGAGTATTTACTTTCAAAGAGACTTTATTTTATGAGATATAACTCATAAATGAACATTTTTTGGGTTGACTTTTACGAATTACTAAACATGTTCAAAATTTTATTAAAAGTTTTTTTTAATTGGAATGTCACTTATAATTTCAAAAAAATCGTAAAAATCAGCATAAGTACAAGTTCCTTCATTTTCATATTAAAAGTACTTTATTGGATTAAAATTGGAGTCCAGTTTCGGCCCTGCCTTTTTGTTCTGTTTATGTATGTTTTTCTAGTTGACGATTAATGACAGTCTATTCACAAAAAAAATTGGTCATTAAAAATTGTTTAGGACTGAACGCAGAACATGGTTCAGTATTATTTTACTAAAACTAAGTTCTACGTACCTTTCTATTTTTAGTTTCCATTACTCAAAGCTTACTCGTAGTCATCTAGTGGCGAATAGATGTAACTTTCTTTCAAAAAACACTAAGAGAATTTTATAGAACTATTTTAATAAATTAAGTATAAAATTACTTACAAATGAAATGTGATGCCATCCATAGCACCAAAACGTCTATATTAATATTTTTATATAATATGCGAATAATTTTAACACGATAAAATATAAAATCTCATTATTTTCTTCTGAATACCACGAAAATATACCGATTTGCGATTTTGTGACACAATTGCATAGTACGGACGCTGAGTGAACTAATTTTAAGCCACGACCACTGGGCTGACGTCAGGACCTAGTTAGAATCACAGTGCACAGTCGCTCAGGCCCTCTTCTCTTTGTATTTGCTTCGTGATTGTAAGTATGTTTAAACGATCTGCTTTGATCGACATCTTTGACGAATGAGGATAGTATAAACTATTCTATAAATAAACACGAAAGGTAAAATAGTTAAGATCCTTATTCACTTTCGTTTGTCACACGATTGTATTGTTTTTCGTTTAGTAGAGTAAGTGTAAGAGTATTATTATCTTAAAGTGTTTCGGTATAGTGTTAATTCGTTAAAGCCAATGCTTTAAAATTTTGCACAATATTGAGTACTAGCAATATGAAACGTGTGAATAAACTATAAATTTAATAAGCTTGCAACTGTGCTCATACTGTACTTTTCAAACTTTTCATCTAATACCGTCCCAAGTTTAAGTCAACTTTACGAGGATGTATGGCGGCAGTTTGAAAAACATACTGCATACATGCATGAAACATAATAATAAATGTACTAATAAAATTCTTCTTCACAATTACACTCGCATTTATGATCCGCTAATGGCTATCCCGTTGTATTAGATTTTAATCTTATAGCTTGCCTCAATAATAACTAATAAGAATTTGGAATAAGAGATAATAAGATTTGAATTTGGTTTTACCAAACTATTATTTTTTTCTAAATAAAACAGCCTTTTTGTTATTAGTTTCAAATTCTTCAACTTTATTATATTACTATAGATTTTTGTAATAACCTTAAATAATAAAATGATAAGGTTTTTACAATAAGGTAAAAAATAACCAAAACTAACCTTCAACATGTCGAATATCATAACAAACACAACACAACACTATCAGTTCAAAAACACAACAGTTTGCCACTTATACTATACAATTCACCGATTTGAGCAGTAGCGTAAACTAACAGTAACAGTACTGGACAGCAGTCAGTGTATTGTGGGGGGCGAAATAGGTCATCACGCGATTTTATACTACCCCCCTCTTAGATAAACCTCTGTTCACTAAGCTTGCTTAGAAGTGTCAGCGCTCAGGCGTACAAACCAGAGTCTAAAAATTAATCTTTCGTATGTTGCAGATTATTGAGTTGCAGTGAAACCTGAGATAGTATTTGACTCCCGGTTTGTTACTGGATACGTGTATATTAATTTAGAACGGGACGAATATTTACCGTAGAACTTCGCAAGACCACTTTGCTGTCCGTTACTAGACCGAGACCGTTTTACTACATGAGTCGCCCATACCAGTTCTAACACTCAGCTCAATTCTACGAACTCGCGGGAAAATATTTAGAAATCTTTTATATATCTCGATATATTTATAGATAATTATTAATCTATATGTAAAATATTGAGCACTTTCCTCGTTAATATTTGTCACTATATCTGGAATAAAACATACAACATTTTTGTAGGCTTTAGTGATGTTTGTATTTATTTGGAAAGAATCGGTAATTTTTTCAAAGTCTCTGGGCGCTTTGAGCAAAAGCAAAACTCTGCTTTTCATAGCGTCTGATTAGTCAATAGCGTAATTGTCTTCTTATCTTCATCATCATGACGGCTAGTCAGGGACAGCCAAATTATTCTACAATGGTTGTTATCAATTTTATCGTACTCTTTACAACTTTTTTTTTTCTGTGCGGCACTCCCCTCGGATACATACTCTTTATAACCTAGTACTATTCCTTTAGAAAAAAAGTCGAGTCAAAATAATATTTCCAATCTGCTTGTCTTATTTATCAAGTCAATGCCGAACCCTTTTTTAATAACATTCTGAAGCATATTTGCACAGGCCTATCTAGATTCAAGTAAGGCTTAACTTGTACTAAGGTTTCTAGAACACAATTAATATTTGAACTCTTCGCATGTAAAATTCATTTACAATAAATGACTTAGGATTCTATATTTTTAGGCAGTATAAAAAAAATGGGGGCGTTGTCTAGGGGCTTGGGGGGCGATTTGTAATTTCATCTAGCCAGGAGGACTCTAAGACACCGACTGAGCTCTCGAATTTCGACTACAACTTGTGAACATCAACTAATATTAATTAAGAGATTGCTAAAACTCGGTTCGATATTTCTCTTTGCGTATTCATATATCTGTCCTGTTTTATTGAATAAATAAAAAAAATTCATGTCAATCGGTCGCTCCGGAATGAAAGTAGACAAACAAACAAATAAAAAGGCAACAGACACACTTTTGCATTTTAATAGTTAATAATATTCCTAGATAGGTAATTTTCGTACATAATAGACCGCGGGCAATCATGTTTTAAATTTTTTTTGTTAAATAACCCGATTTGTGCATTCCTGTATCAATCGGCTGGTTCATAGAATACTTGTCCTTACTTGTTGAGTACGATTGATGTTTATCTTATTCCTGTCGGTGCGTGCTGCTTATGCAATCCTATATAAACCACGTACTATTTATTTTATTTTTATTTGCGGTTTCGTGCGTAATAGATAAGTAGTACTTAAGTTTAACACGAACTTACGTATTTCTCAAAACAAAACAATGTCGGAAGTGAAGTAAAAAAGAAGAGACAGCAATACTATGTGGAATATATTAAATTCGGATTCTTAAAAAATCCAACAAACCCATAGTCGCCTTTGTGCCTTCTATGTCTTAAAACATTTTTGAATGAAGCAATGAAGCCTTCAAGACTGCAAGATAATTTTAATAAAATGTATGAAGATAAAAAAGACAAGAATGTAGCATATGTAGTGTAGCAAAACTATTTTCGGCGGCTGCTAAGCAAGATGACGACGGACTTTGTTAATTGCTCAAAAAGGCAAATCACACAACATCGGAGAAGAGTTAATTTTGACAGCAATAAAGGAAGTAATAACTACTGTGCTTCATACGAGTAAAGCGGCAGCAGATATTATCCGAAAAATTCCTTTGAGTAATAATCATGTGCAAAAACATTTGAAGGAATTCACACATTCAATCACAATTGAAGGATCATTGTGTGAAATTTAGAGACCGATACAAAAGGCGAAACCATATTCAATACATTGGAAAAGTTTTGTTATAAGAAAGAGATTCCCTTAAATTTTTTATATCAGTTGCTACGGCTCAGATGGCGCTCCGGCTATGACAGGGTGTCATAAAGGCTTCATAGCGCACTTAAAAAATAAAATTCCTGATGTCCTTGCTGTACATTGCGTTATTCATAGACAATATTTGGTTGCTAGAAACTTAAGTGAACGACTATTTCAATCACTGCAATATGTCATCAAAGCAGTCAATAAAATCCGTAACAGCTCTTTGAATGATAGATTATTTCATCAGCTTTGTGTTACTTAATGACGAAGATTTCAACCGTTTATTGTTTCATACTGAAGTTTGTTGGCTATCAAGGGGCAATTGTCTGACTCGATTTTACAACCTGTTTGAGTCTGTTATAGAGTTCTTGGAAACTCATCAACAACCCCAAATAGTCCACGGCAGGACATAGGCCTCTCCCAACAATGGAGGTTTTGGCCTACTATATCACGCTGGCCAGACAGGTTGGTATAGGGTTTGTTTCCTTCTTTTTGCAGTGCTGTTGTTTTGCACAGTTTGCTCCCTCAGTCGGCTCTTACGACACCCACGGGATGAATAGGGGTGGTGACATTCTGTATTCTTAATCCATCACCACACGTAGTACTTGGAAACTAAAGATACAGAATTGCTCAAGCAAGCTCATTACATGAAACAAGCTCATTACATCAAAGAAAGATATAGCGTACATGACAGACCTGTATAAATTGTTCAACGACATGAATCTCCAACTGCAAGGCGATGAACTAAATTTAATTTGAACAAAATATGTCGTTGCTCATCATCAGATTCATTCTTCATATAAGTTTTTATATAAGAATCGATTTTGTTTTATTTTGAATACAAGATACTCAAGGTCTCAAGTTAACTCTTGCGGTTTATAGTAAAAGTCTCGTTTAGAATGAATATTTAATATAGCTAATATAGCTCACATTAATTTATTAATTTAATTTGAGGTTATAGTAGTTTTTAAGTAGGTGAAAAAATGGGGGCGCTAAGAAATAATTTATTCTCAAAGTAGGAAGTAGACAAAATAACTTTGGGAACCCCTGCTTTAAATAGATTTTATACTGCACACAACGTGCGCTGTTCTGCATTATCAAAATAAACTCATGCCTATAATTAACCACATGTACTTATATAATTATCTAACAATATATATATATATAAATGTATAATTTACCAAGAACATTCAACTTTAAGTTTAATAAATAATTGTTTATGATCCGAGATGAATTTAGTTCCTGCTATATCTAGTTGCTTTCTGGCAAGTGTAATTGCAGTGTCAATCGATAGCAGCCAAGCAAATTCCAGTTTGGATCAATGTATCAAAATAATTAAAAGAATCAATTAATATGACAAAAAAGGCTACCGTCCTTTACATTTAAGTCCATCTTACAAACATCTCTCTGAAACATCGACTCTGTTTTGACCACCAAGCGTAAATTTGCAATTTTTTTTATAATCCTAATTAAAATATATAAGACCACCGCTCTAATTAAACACATTTCAACAACTTTCTACAAACAAACATTTTAACAAACAGTAGCTAAGTAAAGTTTATGAGCTATTTACAAATGTTATCAGACGTGAATTAGAGAGCGAGTTTTTCCTAAGAGTCAGCGACTCATGTGCACGCACTGGTAACCGTCGCTTATGGCCGGTGACAACGAGATTTCTTGATTAAACTGGTGTTCGTTTGAACTAAAATTTTATTTTACTCATGCCTATCTTAAAGAATAGGTACCGCATATTACTAGACAGAGCGGACTAGTTTTATGATTAAGAATTTTCTACTGGAACTACTAGAAATATTAGTTTTTACCAATAACGCTACCTTAAATATTACTACTTTTATAGAACCACATAATTAAATGTTGTAATAAGTAATAAATACATTGTATAAATAAATATAAAATTATTAGGCGATAAGGCATGTTGCGGATGACGAACTCATAATCAAAGAGATATTGACCACTAGAAACTCACTTCGTTGACTAGTGTGATCGTTACCGTTTTCGTATTCCAAAAAAAAGCTTTTAGTTTGTTTAACGTCGTTAATGGCATGTTACTGCCACAAGTAAAAGGTAACTGAAGCCTTCAATAGCTATAACTTAATAATAATTTAAAAAAATGGCAATATTTAGTTGAAGAGTTGACCATTGGATAATCTTTTTTTAATTTTATTTATTTAAGCGAGAGAGACAAATGAAAGATAGAGCTGATTACAATAGATTGCCGATGCCGATCAAGAGCAATCCTCATGTTGGGTATTGCATCATACACTCCTTAAGGTTCTGGCGATTCCGCTTTTGTGAGTAGAAATGAAGAAAAAAACTGTTAATCAATAAGTTCATCGCACCTTAATTACTGTTACACCCATCAATTTATCTGAAAGTGACCGTTGAAGCTCGACGCTCTACACGGGGAAGTATTATGTACCTAAACCTAAGACTTTTTATTTTTTTTAGTTTCTTTTCCTTATACTCTTAGTTCTTGATTAGTTTTAGATAGACATGTAACTACCCACTATAACTATTGTCCTTTAGTACATATCTACAAATTGAAGTAGATGAAGCATTTGAAAGGTTGAAGGCATTTAAATAATAATCTGAGATTAGCACGTTCAAATAAATTTTTCACCTTACAATTATTTTACAGGTATGGTGTTCTAAATTCATAATAAGTAAAAGTTGTCTCACTTTAAAAAAGATATACTTACTACAATCTCCATTTAACAGTTACTTTTAATTTTTATT